ACTTGACAGACACTTCAAAAAAGAAGATATGAATGGCCAATATAAACATGAAAAGTTGCTCAACAACATCATTCATCAAAAATATACAAAATAAAATCACACAGATATACCACTGCAATCCCATTAAAATGGTTAGAATTACAAATTATAAGAAATTCAAATGTGAAAATGTGAGGCCAAATGGAACTCATGTATTATTGGTGGGCCTATAAAATGGAATAGTCAATTTATAGAAATGTTTGGCAGTTCCTCATATTGATAAATCTATGTTAACCATATAGCTCAGGAATTCTTTTTCTAAGTATCTCATTTCTGCATTATAAAGAGGAATGAAGTCATACATCCATACAAATATTTGTAACCAAATGTTCATATAAATTTTATTCATAGTCATCACAACAGCCAAACACCGGAAGCAACCTACCTGTTAATCAGGAAGAGAATGGGTAAACAAACTGTGGTGTATTTCTACAATTAATACAGCTCAGCAATAAACGTAAAACAAACAACTGATATACACAATCAAATAGCTCAATCTTTCTAAATTGTGCTGATTGGAAAAAGATAGACATAAAAAGTTTATGCTTTATGATTCCATTTATACAAAGTCCAATAAGTGCCAAACCCAATCTGTAGGATTAGAAATCAGAACATGGGCAGAGAGTTTAACTGAAAAAGCACATGAGGGAATTTTCTGGGACACATAAATATTCTATATCTTGACTGCGATGTGGTCGTTACATGAATGTACACATTTGTCAAAACTCATCATATGGTGCACTTAAGAGCTATTTCTTTATGTATAAATTTTAGATAGAATACATGAATAGGAATGTTACTTTTCTATCAAGTATCATGAAGTTTAAATGGAGGCAGTCCAAATCTGACATGACAGTCTGTGTGATTTTCTATCTCTCTGTCTTTAGCATCCACTGTCAAGATGACCCAGTGGTCACTTGATGGTCCTGGGAACTTCAGACATCACAGTCCCTTTGGAGTTAGAAATATAGTAAAGGGAAAGATCAGAATGATGACTCTTAGAATATAAGCTCAAGACTTAAGACTTTTAAGATCTACCTGGGTGTTTGATCCAGTAACTATCACTTACATGTAACTGTACATTTTTATATTCAAGAGAGCTGACAAAAATAAATTTTAAATATCTAAGCACAATGCTACTCCCAACAAGTTAATAGTTCTATTAGCAAGAAAAAAGAGTTTAATAGATAATGGGGAGCAAATGCTAGTCTTTCTCAGAGCCTTTCCATTAAGACTTCTAAACTTTCATGGACAGCTTTTTTCTTTGTGCATGTGCCTGTGTACATGTATGTGTGTGTGTGCTCATGGGTGTGTGGGTGTGTGCATGTGTGTAATGCAATTTCCTTGTCTCCAAAGATGATAATTCCAAAGGCTTATCTGGTTATTGCATTCATCTTTGAGAAACAGTCCAAAATGTCTGGGTGATATAAAGACCTCTCCACTGTGTACAGTTGGGAGTAGCTGATGAGTTTTAAGTAGCTAATAAGTGTACAATTCATCTGTTCCAAACACATCCAACACAGAGAGGTTGAGAATAAACAGTATGAACATTATAAAATCTTCATTTGGAAAGTGGAAGAGGGAAAAGCTCACAGCAGTCACTGGCTCATAGCAAATATTATTACCCTTTAGAAAGCAATAGCAAACACTGCCTTGTTCAATACTTTTTTAAAAGTTATGATTCACATTTGGAAGAAACAATTTCCAAAGAAGATTATGGGACAAACAGATTGAGAACTAAATTAACATGAGCTCAGCTAAGCTTCCAATGGAATCTTCTGGTCCTCTACTCTAGTAGCAATTTTTTGTTTTTTTTCTTTTTCTGCTCCCCACCCCAAGTTAGCATTTCCTTTCCTCCTCTGCTTTCTGTATGAAAATATGTTATACTGCCTCCTTTATGTTACTTTATCTCCTCTGTCCCTTGCTGGTCATACCTACTAAAATTGGGTATTGGACTTATTTCTCTTTATGTTCTACCTTTCCTTTGGTTCTCACTGCCTTCTCTACTTTGGATTTTGTAGGATCATATACTTATTTCAACATTCCAATTAATAAATTGTTGGGTGTAACTTTTAATGCAATGTCATTCATTTTATGAGTCAATATTTTTCTTGAGGTTCACAATAGTTCATCAACTCAAGCTCCGTCCTGGACTCAGTTCCAAGTTAATCACTGTTTTTAGCAGGGTTTATTTCGCCACTTTTGATATGGGGTTTTGTTTCCCAATTTTGCTGAAGTCTATTATTTATTTTTACTACTTTTGATATTTTGCATTAGGTTTCAAGGAGGAAGGAAAAAAAACTATTTTATTGTGTCAACTTTAAATAAAATACATGAAAGACTGTTTGCACTGTTTAAACTTTTGGATGAATAGGCTTTTTGTCTTAGTAGCAGCAGGTCACTGATTGATCTCAGGCACACCCATAGGTCTACAACAGGCTCGAATGTGTCCTGAGGTGCCATGCTTGTGTAATGGCAGTGTGTCACTTAAGTAACAGAAAAACTCTTCCCAAATGTATTCAGTTAAATGTTGTAAAGCGCCTTATTTCCTCAAGAAAGCTTGAGTGAAGCAAATTCCGGTGGGAGTTTCTTGGCTTCCTTATTAAGACCATTAATAAATATAGATTCTGGGCCAGGGCTGCCCGGGCTGTGGCAAGAGAGATTGTGGAGCGCAGGTTCCCATTGGCGGCTGGCTGACCTAGTTCTCCTAGCTTTAGAGAGAGGACTGAAGGGAATTTTCAATATTTCTCCAGGATATACTTCATAACCATTTCTGTGAGCCTAATCATGTTTATAAATTTCAATTGATTAAAATTTTGTATTGGAGAAAATTTTACTAAAGTTACATTTTTAATGGTTTTTCACAAGTTTTCCCTTCTTTCTGCTAAACAATTCTGTTTAATTAGCTTACAAGTTTTGTTACCCTCTATAAAATTTTCTATTTCTTCAAAATAAAAGATTTAACAAATGTCTTCTTTCTTCCAAAACTTTACATGAAACTTATAAATTTCACATGTGCATTTCTAGGATAAACACATAACACTCAAAGATTCTGATACAAGGAATGTTAAACTTTAACAGCTGTGAAAAGATATGGCTAGAGCCGTCTTCCCCTGCTAAGGAAGAGGCCAGATGCTAAATCGTGGTGGATTCAGGAATGGGGTGAATTTCCTTCTCAATTTATAGAAATATGAAGGGCACAGCATAAAAATTCTCTTGACAGGGTCAACAATAACAGCATCCTTATTCCAGGGAGCTCTTTATCCAATCGAAAAATTGAGATAGGCTCTAACATATTGCAGATTTGTGAAGAAGACTGCAGTTTAGTTCAAGAGACCCTCTGGAGCAAACCTCAGACCAGCTTGTCATACATTTTAGGGTCTTTACCCACAACATCTCACTCCTTGCTCCAAGTTCTATATAATTCAGGATGTTCTCAGTTGCAGGTATTAAAAGTCTACATTGAACTACCAAAAGTTTCTAAACAGGATGGATGGTCTGTTAGAGGTCCAGATAGCAGAATGAAGGCAGTGGTTAGGAGAATTATGGTAACTCCCAGGCACCTCAAAAACAGAAACTACAAACTCAAGTTTCTAGTCAGTCAGCATCAGAAACACAAGGGTGAACCTGCAAGAAGCGTAATTGTCAAAATAAAGACAAGTATTAATCTTTCCATAGAACATGGTGCTAATGGCCACATAGGAAGGGGCTTTCACAACTTCATTGCTGTGTTATCAAACTCCCCAAAAAAGTATATGTCAACCTCAATTATGTAAAATAGTAGTCCTATCTTTAAATATAATATATTATACTTTTTGCTTACTTAGGAAATTATAATAAACTTGATAATTAGCATGTGTTATAGGAGCATGTGCTGACATTGATGGTAATTGAACTCAATAACTGGTTACTTCCCTCAAGATTTTTTTCAGAGAATATCAGACACATTGCTTCTGGGAGTTAAAAGTAGATAAGATGTCAAAATAAAATAGATTTAACTATGTTTATAAGCTACCCAACAATGAGACAGGTATATTTAGCATGTCAATAGTAAGACCACTTTGACCTGCCTGAAAGTCCAAAGCCTGATGACGGCTGTGCGGCTGACGAGTCCACATCTGCACACACCGCAGCTCTTACTATCAGTTACTAAGTCGATTGTGGGTGTCTTTAGGGTGGTAATGCATGTTCTTGGGCCATAATAAAATTTTCTTTGTTGGGAGAGGAGTCAGCCAAAGCCAAAGTCGTCAGGAATTTGAAAGGATATGGAAAGTGGAAGTGAAGTTGGAATAAAAATCAGCACTAAAAGAAATGATTTAATGTGGCTTTCTGCTGCTTCTTTTTCTATATTTATTTTATCGTCACATCTAGATTTGGTTTTGGAGAGAGTGGGAAATAAAGATTAAGAAATGCCCGGATGTAGTCCGTGCCTGACTACGTGTAGCTCTGTAATCATAAGCAAACTATGCAATGTCTTTATATCGCAGGGCTCTTCTTTGATACCCGCATCATTTATCCTTGAACTGTAGGAGAGAAGCCAGTCGCAACTCAGAAGAAGGTGCTTCTCCCTCATTTTCTTGTCTCCAGCGTGCAGACTGACAGGACACCACCTCGAGATGCAGTCTGCCATGGACCCTGCGCGTCCTTGCACATTCTTCCCCAGCAGTCCAGGAAAGCAAGACCTGAGCGCTTCTCATCTGAACTATTGCTTAGTGTTGTGTGTTCCCTGGAAGATCCTTGAAGCATTAGGTAAGAAAGCAAAAGCATGTTTTCACGCCCTATGCTATTCCTCTCCAGGAACCCTGTGCACTGTGTGTGCAGGATGGGCCTCTGTGTCACACGTGGGAACAAGCGACCAGCCAGGGCATCAGGCCTGTGACGCGGCCACTGCTTTTACTGCGAGTGGCAACCCTTGTCTCTGATGCAACAATCGCACGTCTTCACACAACTGTGCATGGCAGGCTGGCTTGTTAGTGCACATGCGGGTGATATTTAATGTCCTCACACCCATCACAATTATTAGCAGCCACACATCCCTGTGGAGGTAAGATAATTAATTTTCTTTTTCAAAATTGGAAAAGGAATATCTTTGACCTGATAGAAGTTGAACAATTTACAGAAGGGATTTCCGAAGTGTGCATAGTGTGACCTGGAAAAATATGGCAGGACAAAACAGAGATTTGGGGATGTGTTTATAAAAGAGCAGAAAAGAAAGGTCAGCATTTGTAAAGGAGGGGTCATAATGTGGGGAAATCTAAAGGCGTGGGTAGTTAGGTTTGACCGTTACACTGCACGTGCAGAACTTTGCATGAGGACCCATGGCATGTTATGGTCCTTGGCCACTGCAAAACCCTTTGAGGTGAGGTGTTGAGAACAGTGATAAACATTCCTTGATCAGCAATATGTACCAAGTAATAAAAAACTAGATAAAATATCCAATCAATGATTCATGCCTATGAAGAAGTGGGACAATCTTTAAATCGCTTTATTTTAGAGAGAAAAAATTTGCAACTTTAAAAAGATTGCTAGAAAAAAGTAATCACTGGTGCCCATCTTGCAGAAATTATTCCACAATATTGAGAAGAATGGAAACCTCCCCGACATCTTTTATGAAGCGAATATTACTCTGATACCAAAACTAGGAAAGGATGCAATAAAAAAAAAGAAAACCACAGACCAATATCCCTAATGAATACAGATGCAAAAATTTTCAACAAAATCCTAGCTAACCGAATTCAGACACTTATCAAAAAAATAATCCATCACAACCAAGAGGGTTTCATCCCAGGGATGGAGGGATAGTTCAACATATGTAAATGTATAAATGCAATTTACCACATAAACAGAAGCAAAAACAAAGACCACATGATTCTTTCAATAGATGCAGAAAAAGCTTTTGACAAAATTCAACACCCTTTCATGATATGAACACTTAAGAAAATAGGCATAGAAGGGATATATCTAAAAATGATACAAGCCATATATGACAGACCCATAGCCAACATCATACTGAATGGGGAAAAATGGAAAGCATTCCCACTTAGAACTGGAACCAGACAAGGCTACCCACTATCTCCATTTCTATTCAACATAGTGCTGGAAGTCTTGGCTACAGCAATCAGACAGGAAGGTGGAATTAAAGGAATCCAAATAGGGGCAGAAGAGATCGAACTTTCACTGTTTGCTGATGATATGATATTATACTTAGAAAACCCCAAAGATTCAACCAAGAAACTCCCGGAGCTGATAAATGAATTTAGTAAAGTCTCAAGATACAAAATCAATACACAGAAATCAGAGGCATTCATATATGCCAACAGCAATCAAATTGAGAACCAAATCAAAGGCTCAATTCCCTTCACAATAGCAACAAAGAAATTAAAGTACCTAGGAATATACTTAACCGAGGAGGTAAAAGACCTCTACAGGGATAACTATAAAACACTGAGGAAGGAAATAGCAGAGGATGTAAACAGATGGAAATCCATACCAGGCTCGTGGGTCGGCAGACTCAACATCGTTAAAATGTCTATACTACCCAAACTGATCTACAGATTCAATGCAATCCCTATTAAAATCCCATCAGCATTGCTCACAGATATAGAAAAAATAATTTTATGCTTCGTATGGAACCAAAGAAGACCCCAAATATCAAAAGTAATTCTAGGCAACAAAAACAAAATGGGAGGTGTTGAGATGCCAGATATCAAACTATATTACAGAGCTGTAGTAATTAAATCAATCTGGTATTGGCACAAAAATAGAAATGTTGACCAGTGGAACAGATCTGAGAATGCTGATATAAAACCATCCTCATATAGCCATCTAATCTTTCACAAAGCAGACAAAAACATACGCTGGGGAATAGAATCCCTTTTCAATAAATGGTGCTGGGAAAACTGGATAGCCACTTGTAGAAGGCTAAAGCAGGATCCACACCTTTCACCTCTCACAAAAATCAACTCACACTGGATAACAGACTTAAACCTAAGGTATGAAACTATTAGAACTCTAGAGGAAAATGTTGGAATCACTCTCCTAGACATCGGCCTAGGCAAAGAATTTATGAAGAAGACCCCAAAGGCAATCACAACAGCAACAAAAATAAATAAATGGGACATGATCAAACTAAAAGCTTCTGCACAGCCAATGAAATAGTCATGAAAGTAAACAGACAACCTACAGAATGGGAGAAAATTTTTGCATCCTACGCATCTGATAAGGGGCTGATAACTAGAATATACTTAGAACTCATGAAAATCAGCAAGAAAAAATCAAATAACCCTATCAAAAAGTGGGCAAAGGACTTGAACAGAAATTTTTCTAAAGAAGACAGAAGAATGGCCAACAAACATATGAAAAAATGCTCAACATCTCTAATCATCAGGGAAAAGCAAATCAAAACCACAATGAGATATCACTTAACTCTAGTGAGAATGGCCTTTATCAAAATTCCCCAAATTTAAATGCTGGCGTGGATGCGGAGAGAGAGGAACACTCCTACACTGCTGGTGGGACGGCAAACTAGTTCAACCTCTGTGGAAAGCAATATGGAGATACCTTAAAGCTATACAAGTAGATCTACCATTTGATCCAGCAATCCCATTGCTGGGCATCTACCCAAAAGATCCAATGACACTCTACAAAAAAGACACCTGCACTTGAATGTTTATAGCAGCACAATTCATAATTGCAAGGCTGTGGAAATAGCTCTAGTGCCCATCAATCCAAGAGTGGGCTAATAAAATGTGGTATATATATATCATGGAGTACTATTCAGCTCTCAGAAACAACGGTGATATAGCACTTCTTATATTTTCCTGGTTAGAGTTGGAACCCATACTACTAAGTGAAGTATCCCAAGAGTGGAAAAACAAGCACTACATATACTCATCAGCAAACTAGTATTAACTGAGCAGCCCCTAAGTGGACACATAGGAACTACAGTAATAGGGTATTGGGCAGGGGGGAGGGGGGAGAGGGGTGGGTGTATACATACATAATGAGTGAGATGTGCACCATCTGGGGGATGATCATGCTGGAAACTCAGACTTGTGGGGGGAGGGGGAGAAAGGACATTTATTGAAACCTTAAAATCTTTACCCCCATAATATGCCAAAATAAAAAAAAAAGGTATCACGTTCTACAAATCCATTTAATATCCTTATTATGAACTATTTACAAATTGGCAAATTTGACCTATGGCTATGAACAGAATAAACATGGTTACACAAGTTCAAGGAATATGTCACAGAAAAAGATAAATGAATACCATTGCAGTTTATCTTTCAAAATTAGAAAACATACATAACTTTCCAATTAGCATGAGTAACACAAAAACATTGATTAAGCTTCTGTATATGGGCGGAACAGCGTAGCCTATGGCAGCTCAACGCTGGGTAAGAAAAGCTTGGTAAATGATGAAAATCCTAAGTTTAAAGGCCTCTGAGAACTTCAGGAGAAACTAGAGGAGAGAACCTTTTATAGGTGAACTGAGCATCTGCAGTTATCCCCAGAGGTATTTACCAGTTCAAGGAAGGGCTGGAGTCTGAGAAGTCAGGCTTGGCTGAGGCCAGCGGATGTTCCCGGAAGACGCAGGGATGAGGTGGGGGCACAGTAGATGTCCGTCACCACCAGTGCGGTGGCCTCATTAACCCACCTGGCCTGGCTTGCTTCCTTCCTCTGGTCCATTTTCCGACTTCTTCACCTCCCAAACAATTTTCTTACCCCTGGATCCTTGTCTCAGAGTATGAGAAAGGAAAACTGTGATATTGGTATTCTCCTACACTGAGGATAATCTAGGTATCTTGACCTGACAGCTGGCACGTCAACGCCCGCTACGGCGGTGTGACGGCGGCTGGAGCAGCGGGACCGAGGGCGCCGCCAAGCGGGCACTCCCAGGCGCTGCGACCGCGGGACGCGCGAGCGCCGCCCGGGCTGCCCACGTGCGGCGGGGCCTAGAGGCGCCTTGAGCAAGGGCACGAGAACATTTGTGCGAAGTTTCACGTGTCCGTTGACATTAATCAAAAGTAGTAGTGACAAGCTGTTACCAGATGAATGTTTATGTATATCACACATTACATATATACAAATAACCCTGAAATAAAATAATTTGACTTTTAATTTCAAAAATAATTTTCATTGTAGAAAACTTATAATCAAAAAGCAAAAATAGCAACACCTACAAATATGAAAGATACGTATTATTTTTGTGACTTGTTTTTCTACTTAAAGTATGTTGGAGTAGATACATACCTGATATATACCTGTATCACTCAAATACTGCAAAGATTCATAATGCAGGCTGCCACCTTAGGTAGCTTGTATTGATCTGTTATTGTAGTGCATCTAAGTCATGTATTTGTCTCTTCTAAAGAATGATCATAAAAAAAAATTTGTGATTAAATGAAAATACATTTCAAAATATTTCCACAAGGCAATTGTATCAAAGGTAACACATATGCCTAGGTCTTTTGCTAAATTTCTCTTCATGAAAAATATAAAATTTCTTTTAGAATATTTGAGTATGCCTCCTTCCCCAAACATAGACCTATTTTGGGATTTTTTCATTCTTCTTCATCATTACTAATCTGACAAAACTGACAAAATATACTTGTGTCTTACACATTTCTCAAATTAGTCACATATTTCTTCTTTTGTGAATTGTTCATTTCATTCCAAATTATTAAGGGATTTTCATACGTACAGATGTTAGTCCTTAGTCTTTTAAATATTTTGCAAGTATAAGTTCACATTTTTCATAAAATATTTTATCAAAATAGCTATTCTTCATTTTCTCTTTTCTATTTATGTCTTTTTCATTTTCTTATTTCCTTCCTACTTTCTTCACTTCCTCCTTTTGTTCCTTTCCTTCTTTTTTTTTTTTTTTTTGTTTTAACTCTATTTTGCTTCTTTCTCTTACAGGAATAATATTTTAAATGGTCAAATATATAAAAATATTAATTTACAAAATTTACCTTTGGAGTCAGGCTTAGAAAGTCCTCAATTATGTTAAATTATATAAATTCCTGTCAGCATTTTATTCTAATTTTACATGTTGGTTTCTTAATTTCTTTTGAATGTGCCCTACCATAGCACTTGCTGCATTTTACAAGGTGACAATAGAATTAGTGATTATTGAAATAATGCACTTTAAACCTGGAGGATTAGTTTAAGGAAAGCAAGAAATGCAAGTAATCCAAATATTTTTTTAAATGAAAGAAGAGAAATGATCATCTCTGTAAACAGATTATTTTGGAGTGTGAGGTTACTTCTGGTGAACCATCAGGTAGCTAGTTTATGGCCAAAAATGACGAGGGTGAAATTGATGGAGCAGACCATAATCTGAGCAGAAGGTCCCAGCCACAGGACAGCAGGGGCAGGCTGGGCCCAAGGACGGCAGATTGCTGTGTGGGTCTCCACTTACCGAAGCATCTGCCCTGGGCTGGCAATGCTGCTCATGTGCTCTGCAAACTCACTTCTCCGAGCTATAAGTTTCCTCAGTGCTCGCGATTCTTCTGTCAAGTGTATTGTACAGTGTCACCCCAATGCCAGACTCTTATTAGTTCTATTTTGGACTGTGCAGGAAGACGTGCATAAAGGGGGGAGCAGATGAGATGCAGTGATCAGACTGTCTGCGAGGACGTTGGGAAAGCCGGAAGCCACAGCCTGGACCAAAGGTCACACTTGACAACACAGACACACTGAAATCTCCTAAAACACGCTGAAAGGAATTGAATTATTTAGCAGCGAAGGAGGATGTTGCTGTGAGGGTAAACTTAGGTACCATTTCAGTACTCGTTGGGACAGGAGCCTTTCTTTCCCCCTCTTCATGATATTTATGTTACAATACTGTCTATTTTACTAGATAAATTGTAAAATCTTTTAGTCATAATATGAAATACCTCCAGAGTTTTCATTTAAAATGTATTCTACTTAAAGGTTAATTTGGGGATAATTTACCCATTCCATAAAAGAGGGGCAGTCTCTCTTTCTGCTCAGTATTTTTGTTTCCAGGTGGCAATTTGTCACATTTCCTTGCAGGTCCCATACCTTGTTTCCCCATGTATGCTACAAAGGAAATACTTTTCATTTTTTATTTTGCAGTTCATAACATAATTAAGTCTCTCTTTTTAGTTCCAATGTGTTTCAGTAGATTTGCCTGGACTTTTAGTTACAAAATCTTTCCATTGGCAAATAATTATAATGGTGCTTACTTGATTTTTATGAGTAGGTTTAATTACTTTGTTCATACCCTAGTCCAATGGCTAAAATCTAAGAAAAATATTCAACAGAGGTGGTGGAAAGGAATAACCTTGTCTTCTTAAATCTTTACTGGTAAAACCTACAGTGCTTCAGCATTTTTATGATGCTTGCTATTGACAATGTACCATAATAAGGAAGTAAAATTATTTTATTATTGTTCACAATGATTTATTTCTTATAATGAGATGTTACATTTTCAATGATTTTTCTATACATAGTAAAATATTAAGAAGTTTTCCTTATTGAAAATTTAATCATAGATTAATACTGTATGATTTCTCTTGCAGTCTTTTAATGAATTTTATTGTCATAGTGTATTATTTCTTTTGATATACAGGATCCTTTACTATAGGATGTGTATGTGCCATATGTATTATGCTTGAAGGCCATTGTGGTTTTATGTTTTGTTTTCTTTTTAACAGGTTCCCATCAGGACTATGTTGGTGTTATAAAATTAATTTAGAAAAATTTCTATTTTCTGTGTCCAGAAAATCCAAGCAAATCATCTACAATTTATTATAATAGAAATCATCTGATCATAAAATGTTAATGTTATTCTGGTTCATGTAATCTTGCTGGTACTTTTCTAAGAGACAATTTTACAACTATCTTTTTGTGTCTGTTCGATTTTTCCAATACTTTGAGTTAAATTTAGAAATTATTAGTTTTTATGGGAACTTACTACAGAAAATCAAAACTGAAAAACATAGCAATGCACAAATTAAATTTTGTGAGCTTCAATATGTAAGAATGTATGGGATTTTTCCACATAGTCTATTTTTTCTTTTCATTCAATCTTTTGGCTCTGTTTATTTTATTAATTTATTTTAAAATAGACTTTGATTACATCATTTATTTCCACCAGGTTTCAGTTTTCACACTAATAAATTACATTTTTTAAAATTTTATTTTTCTTACTTTTCAAAGGTTATTTTATTTTAGATTTAGGTTGAACCCATAATTTGTTTTCCTTCACTTTTAAATGTGAAACATTTATTTTACCAATAAAAGCTTAAAAACAAGAACATCTGTGATGTAAGTATTGTTATTTCCCTTTGGCCGAATAGCTTTTTCACATCTCATTCAAGTTTGTCCACTGACTGTCAAGAGTTCTGTTTGTTTATGGTAGTATTAAACAACCTGCATTACTGTTTTTCCAACAGTTGTGCCTGGAAGGGTCTAGCATGTGTGGTGTCCTGACCTTGCCCTGCGTATCACTAATACAGTCCTTTCTGTTCCTCTGTCCTTTGACTGTGTCATGCTACCAGAAGCTGCAGTCTCCTGAGTGGATGTAGAAAGTGAGGTGACCATCGGCCTCCTGTGAAAGGAACTCTGTGGGGAGAGATACAAGGCTGTTTGTTGTCCTGCCAGGCCTGATCCTCTGATGCAGGGTGGAAGGGTGGGCATGGGACAAAGCTAATGATATTTTTCCTTTTTGTTGGAACGTCTATAAATGAGTTGGCTCCAATTATCACTTTCTACATCCTATTCTTCTGCTATTACTGATAATTCTTTGTGAGACTTGGTAAATCATTGAACAATGACAATGCTATTTCAATATAAGCTCTTGTTTTCTTTTAAGTGTGCTAAATTTAACAGGGAGATTGGAAAAGATGAATCAATGCCATGTAATTAACCAAAACTGCTTTCCACATATTTCTGGATAGTTTCTTTGGAAGCCTTATCATAAACATTGAGGTAAAGATTTTTATTAGCATTATGACATAGGATATTATGTTAATATTTTTCGAATTCTCTATGAGAGATAGAAGTCTGAACAGATAATACTGAATATATTCATCTGGACTAAGGAGACTGACATAAATTGAGAAAAAATCTGTATTCCATGCAGTGGTATACTGGCAAATGTTTAAGAATCAGTTGTTGAAAAATCACACCCACATATTTTTATGTGAATACTTATTTATTATAAATTGTACTAATATAAAAGATGTGTAACACAATTTACAAATAACAATAAAATATTTTTTGGTAATTCAAGTTAGCCATCTGATTCTCACAGAATACTTTAACTTGCATTTTTTGCCAAACTTTTTGAATTTGTAGCTAATTTATGGTTGAAATTGAAACAGATGATTATAGTTCCAACATGAATGCTGACTGACACATTTTTATACACTAATAAGAAAGATGAACATAAAACAATAAAGTGATACATATGTCGGAGCTTCATGCATTTGTTGTTGATTGGAGTGACTTTATTGAAGTAGGTATTAGTTTTCTAATACTAAAATAAATTCTCATTATTTCTATGCTCTTTATAGTGTAATGGTCACAGACTTGCCACACTTTTAAGTGGACATTATTACATTTCTTCATTACTTTCTTAAGTGTACCTAGTCAATGCAACAATATATCGAGCTCTGATTTGGAGAGTTTTCTTATTTCCATGAAGTTACTAATACTAACATGGTTAATTACAAGCTAAAAAATGTAATATGCGGTGACATGCTATTGTAAATTATTTCTACTGCACAGTTCAATAGATGGATATAACCACAAGAGTGTAGATAATAGTAAAATATAAAATAACTAGGAAGAGAAGTTTGAATATGGATTAGCTTGCTTTTTATATATTTAATTGTGCTTTTTTTAGTTTAATCTTCAATAACTGCTATGTTTAAAGCTAGTCCATAACATATCTGAAAATGCAATGGGTGTTCCTGTGAGCCCACGTAGACCCTTCACGGCATATCGCTGATTCCATACTTGTCCTGACATCTCAGTTCAGTTCACTTCACTGGGTGCTCAGGACTGCAGTCAGCGGGACTACTTGGGTAAAGTAATTCACAATAAGAAGAAAATGTGTCCTATTTTTTCACTGTTATTTATAGGAAACTTATTAACCCAAAGGTTGAAGAAAAGCCATTTGGGGAATAATTTTGAATGGTGATTTCCTCTAGTCCAGGATAAATCTATGTCAGTAAATTCCCCTTAACAAAAAAGTAAATCCCATAGCTAGCTTGTCTGTATACAGAAAAACATGGAACAAGCTATAAAGTCAAACAAATCATCAGCTCTACTTCACACAGGAAACTCTCCTCTCAATAAACACAAAATCATAAACCTGGAAAGTGCTTTACACAGCGTTGAATAAACAAGTAGAGTTAAACATGAGGGGAAGTATATAAGGGGATTATGAATATAAAAATGTAGGAGAATTTCAAATACATTTCAGTATTTTATATCAACATTTACTTTATGTAAACTCTTCATTTCCTATTCTCAATTAGGTGTTATGGATATGACTGCAAAACTGGACAGTGATTTGAGTTAAACGTAAATCAAATCACAATAAACAAACACAATTACAATTATATTTCAGTACAATCACACAATTGAGGTTTATTAATGCTTCATTAACTGAATGAACTGAATTTCAATGCGAGTAAATTTATTGCCATGAGGATTGATTTGCCACCATGTGTATGTGTGACGTACATACAGCTTGGTATCTATGCTGACAAAATTATCCTTGACATATCTTTGAATACAACCAATAAAACAACATAGTGTTTTCTTATATGCAGCCAGATTCATTTCGAGAAAATTCTGATCAGGATAATATGACAGCTTTGGAGGTTTGGTGCCTCTTTCTTGTCCCAGATAATAAGTAAATTTGAACTCGGCTTTAACTTACTGACCCATCAAAGTCTCTACCAAATTTAGATTGTACAAGGCTTGTACATTTTAAAAGTTTTCTGCCTAAAGAGACATTGTTCCTAGTGCTTTCTTTTATCTTTTAATTTGAATTTTTATTTTCTCTTTAAAGTAGACTAATTCTCCTTCTCTATCACTGAATTCACAACTTAACCTTAATTGTCACGAGAGTATTGCTTCTGCCTTAGAGCACTTTCCTTATTAGAGATGTGTATTTTAGATACATTATACAAATTGCATGGACTCCACATAACCCTATTTTTTTGTGATAGTAAAATTAAATGTTAGTAGGAAGAACATCTTTCCTACTATATTCCTACTATAATGTATCTTTCAGTGCCATATTTCTTATAAGGCATATCTTTCAAATATTTAAATTGGATTATTAATTTATTCTTATAGCCCAGGGGCAGAGTTTAAATTTATATGCAAATGTCACAACTTCTAAAGGTCTATATCCATCCAGTTTGTTGAAGTGTGACTTTGCATCACAGATAGTGTGCATATAATCTCCTGGAATAGAAATGACTTTCTACAGTTATCTTTGGTATAATAACTGAACAGGAATATTTGAATACTTATAAATGTACAAGATCTACTTTATAATTCCATAAATATTTTATATAAGAGAACCTTACAGTATGTGTTTCATTTACTTTCAAGTAGATATCATAAATATCAAGTCAAATAAATATCTCCTTGAACTTATTGTCCAGCCCTAATAATATTAAAATTATAAAATATGCATAAAATAATGTATGAAGGAAAAGAGTATTTCCATACAACCATTGACAGGAAAAAAAATATATATTCACATGTACAAGTTGATTCTTCCTTATGTAGCACCAGAAATAATAATTATGTTAAAATGTCAATATTACCTAAAGTCATCTACAGAATTAATGCAACCCCCATCAAAGTACCACCATCATTATTTACAAATCCAGAAAAAATAATTCTGCACTTTGTATGGAACCAGAAAAAAACTCATAGCCAAAGCACTCTTAAGCAAAAAAAAAAAACAAACTGGGAGGCATTGGTCTTCCTGACTTCAAGCTGTACTATAAAGCAATACTAATTAAATCATCCTGGTACTGGCACAAGAACAGAAGCATCGATATTTGGAATAGGACTGAAATTCCAGAGATGAAACCATCGGCATATGGTAACCTAATCTTTGATAAAGCAGACAAAAATATACAATGGGGAAAGAATCTCTCTTCAATAAATGGTGTTGGGAAAACTGAATAGCTACATGCAGAAGATTGAATCAGGATCCCTACCTCTCACCACTCACAAAAATCCACTCAAGATGAATAACAGATTTAAACCTAAGGCATGAAACCTTAAGAATCCTAGAAGAAGAGGTAAGGAAAACCCTCTTAGACAATGGCCTAGGCAAAGAATTCTTGAAGAAGATGCCCAAAGCAATCACTGCAGCAACAAAAATAAACAAATGGGACCTGATCAAATTAAAAAGCTTCTGCACAGCCAAGGAAACTATCATTAGAGAAAATAGACAACCTACAGAATGGGAGAAAATATTTGCTCTCTACACTTCTGATAAAGGTTTGATAACAAGAATCTATTTAAAGCTCAAAAGAATTAACAAGAAAAAAATCAAACAACCCAATCAAGCAATGGGGAATGGAAATGAACAGAAACTTTTCTAAAGAAGACAGAATACTAGCCAGCAAACATATTAAAAAATGCTCAACATCACTAATCATGAGAGAAATGCAAATCAAAACCACAATGAGATATCATCTAACCCCAGTGAGAATGGCCTGTATCAAGAAATCCCCAAACAAAAAATGTTGGCGAGGATGTGGAGAGACAGGAACACTCTTACACTGCTGGTGGGACTGCAAATTAGTGCAACCTTTGTGGAAAAGAATTTGGAGATACCTCAAAGAGCTAAAAATAGAAATACTATTCGATCCAGCAATAGCATTATTAAGCATCTACCCAAAAGAGCATAAGACATTCTATTATAAAGACATCTGCACCCAAATGTTTATGGCAGCACAATTCACTATAGCAAGTATGTGGAAACAACTCAAGCGTCCATCAATTCATGAGTGGATTATTAAAATTTGGTATATGTTTACAATGGATATTACTCAATTCTAAGAAATGACAGTGAGCTAACACAGCTTCTATTATCCTGGATTGAGCTTAAGCCCATTATCCAAAGTGAGGTGACACAAGATCAGAATAATGGGCTCCATATATACCCACCAACAAATTGGTACTGACTGATTAACACTACGGTGCTCAAAGGGTGGTGGTGTTCACCAGGGATTCGGAGATTGGAGGGGTAGTCCCAAGCCTGAGGGATGTGGTGAACATTGTGGAGGGGAAGGGCATACTTCTAACCCTTGCTAGGGAGAGGCAAAGGTTTAAAATATAACCAAAATGTTAAGAAAAAAAGAAAAACATTTGTCGGGTGTGGGACAGGTGGGAGGGGGAGGAGGGGATGGGTATATACATACATAGTGAAAGTGATGCGCACCGTCTGAGGGATGGACACGCTTGAAGCTCTGCCTCAAAGGGGGAAGGGAGACAAGGGCAATGTATGTAACCTTAATGACTGTACCCCCATAATATTCTGAAATAAAAAAAATAACTGCATACCCTATGTTAACCTATTTTTAATAAAAACTATAGAAACATATGCTTCATATAGTGTTTAATAGTCTTTCTAGCTCTCTAGAAAGATTGAGAGCAGTTTAATGCATCTACTTTACTAACCTTAATATGATCACACTCTGTTATTAAATCATCCCTAATGGTTCTTTTTTCTGGCTAAGTGCATCCACATCTTTTTTTTGTAATAAATTTTTCCTGCAGGTCAAACTGCCTCAACCACTGGGCTATGGAGCCATCCCAGGGCAAGGACCAGGTCTCATTTATCATCACTCCGTCTCTCATGACTCACACCATTCTCTTCATTTATAGTAGACACTCAATAAATGTTTGTAGAATGAAAGATTTCCACATCAAAATTAGTATATTGCTTAGGCCCAATTACATATTGGGAAGTGTATTAGAGATAAAAATGATTTAACACAGTCTTTATAACTGAGAGGATTTTAGACACAAACAGAACAAGTTTATAAACAAAATGATAAATAAAATAATGGAACACTATCCACGTCCCCGTGGAGCTTTGGGAGGGAAAAACCCTCAATCTCGGGAGCTGGAAACAACTTGAAAGATAAAAAGCTAAGACAGACTTTGCAAGGTGATGAGTGAGGAGAGCCGAGGCAGCAGGACTGCCATAGTCAGTGGCCTCAAGTCATGCACAGGCAGTAGTTTCTGAGAAACACGAACAACTGAGTATTCCTAGCAGTCTAAGTTCAGGAGGAGTTTATTTGGACAGAGACATGAGAGTGGCAGATCATTAGCTGGTGCACAAGGTGTGCTGTATATAACCCACCCATCTCCCCTGCTGTGACATGCCACCTGTATTTTACACTTATATTTGTATGAATTTAGTCCTATACTTTGGACTTTGTATTAAACTTAATTTATTGTCTATTCCTATGCTATTGTCTATTCCTATGCTATTCCTATGCATATTGATTCCTCTACCTTTACAGTTAATTTGATTAGATTATATGATGAAACTTCTCTATTATTTTCTGTTTTCAGCAATTTGCTGACTGAAAAGCTGTGGGAATGGATGTGGATTTTGAAGAGAATGGGACAATATGGAATAACTTTTGTGGGGCATAAAAATTTTCTAGGTAAGCAAATAACAATTTTGCCATTCATGATCAAGATCCCAGCCAAGATCAAATGCCACAAATCTGAAAATGCCTTCCTCTTAAGCCATGTGGCTTCTTCCCTCAGCCCTCAGAATTCTAGGTGTAAAACTCAAAAGGTGGGTGGTCACATGTATCCAACTATGAGTTGTGAGAGTTTTGAATGTTAGGAACATTGGCCATTGGCTTAAAGCTTCATGAGAGTAAAAATGAAGTCACAATTGAGGTATTGTAATTGGTGAACAAAAGGAAACATCTATGTTTACAAAATAGAAAGATTAGGAGTAACAGAGTAGAAAAGAGGAGAGATAATGCTAAAAGAGTTGACTGTTTCAGAATTAGTTTTCAGGGTTAAAGTGATTCCTAGCAACGAAAGATGAAAATGTGTTCATGAAGGTCCACTATAAAGTATATCAGATTTGGTCATATGAATTCAATGGATCTACAAATCAGAGCTTAGAATGTTACTTGTCCTCTCTTCACAGATGGTGGAAAGCTCCCCCATGGTGAGAGGTTATGTTCTGAAAAATGAGGTTCCTTTTATTTTTTTCCAGGGAATATGACAGGCACCCAGGGGGTAACTGGGTAAGAGAAGTGGGGAGTAAGGAGTGGAGAGGCTGTCGGCATGAGAAGGAATGTGGCAGTCGCAGTTATTTCTGGAATTACCTGAGCTGTTTGTGTAGCTTCCTGGAGGACATTATGAAGATCCAGAAAGGATTACTTGAATGACTGCACATGCACTCAACATAAGAGCTGTATCTGGCTTGCTACAGCCAATCATGACTATGAAAGTAATATATGGTTGGGCTGTAACAACGATGTCTAATAATGATTAAAGAATGCGTGGCTTGATTTTTTTCAAGACATTATTAACTAGCTGGTATTGTTCTGTGTCATGTTTTCTTTCATGCCATTCTAAGCTGGAATGATTATTTCTCAAACTCTGCTTGGTACATAGTAAAACAATCCATATATTAAGAATTGATCAACTTCATTTTAAAGAGTCTTTAATTTCCTTCATATATTCTACAAAACCCTCACCACTGGTTACTCAAAATTAAGCCAAAGTGCTCTTGTGAGGCCCCATTGTGAGCTCCTTTCTTTAAAGACTGTGCTCACTGAAGTACATCCGGCACCTCACTCCTGTCCTTGCTGTGCATGGGGAGGGGTATGGACATTTGATTTCATACAGGCACGGATACATGAAGTGCTGGGATTTGAGATAGTACCACCAAAATGTGCCGTGCATCAGGTGCCCACTGTGGTGCTTCATGCCCACCTTCCATCATTGGGGCTGATATTGCACATATAATATTTGTCACTCGCTGAATTCATATGACTTTATTTCCATTTTATTTCTTTCATTTTCTCCTTAATGTTGTTGTTGGCCACAGAGTATTGGAGGAGGAGAAAGTGAGATCACTTTGCTTTTGCTGGGATATTTCAGTTAGGTTGCTAGAAATTCTGTGAGTAAAAGCAAAATCTGTTCATTTTTCTGACTTCCTTAGCTTAGTAACTGGACAAATTTTATTTAGAATTCCACTTATAAAATACTTTGTCATCTATTAAGCAAATATTAAATACTTATTTGTGTATGACTCTCTTTACTGGGCTTCCAGACTACAGATGGGCTCATGTTGAGTCAAAGAGTTACATGGACTTGGAGTTTTGCCTCTTGGGCTTGCACAGACTTTTTAAGAATTGGTAGTTTAATTATGAATACATAAATGCTTATGCAGAAAAGCAGGTCTATATAGTTCAGGGGAAGAGCAGGGCAGAATTTTCTCTTTAGGTAAGAAAGCTGAAATGGCATCTTGTTATTTAATTCAATTTGTTCATGGATTTATTGGATGTTTATATTATCCTTTTGTGAATTTATTCTTTTTAAACTAATTTTTCAGTATTTTTTCAGAACTAAAATTTTAATGCTATTTAATAATAGGCTCATTGCATATGTCATTGTAAGTTTATTGAAATTTTAAATTGAATAATCTATTTAAAAACTTTTACATGCTTCCATAATTCAAAAATTTCAAAATAATTTTGCAAACCATTGAAATTAAAAGTTGTGCATGCTCAAAATGAATCAAAGACCTAAACTGAGGAACTGAAACTATAAAACTTTTAAAGGAAAACATGGGGGAAAAACTTCATGGTGTTAGACTTAGCAACAATTTCTGGGTTATGAAATCAAAAGCAAAGGTACTCAGGGAATGTATTCTTATCATTGGTTTGCTATTTTTCTAGGAAAAGGCAGTTCTAGTGGCCTCCACTTAGCTTTTCTAACCATAATAGTTCCTATTCCCCAGATCAGGAAACCGGTGTAGGGATTCTGCCAGCTGCAGTTATGCATCTGGACCTGGAGAAAAGCCACAGGAGGGGTTGAGGATCCACTGGACCTCCTTGAGATGGATCTGAGCTAAAACCCCACTGATCACTTGACCTGTGTGAATGCTTACTTTCACTGGAGTGCCACAGAGATGTCTTGGGTCTCTGGAGATTAGTGTGAGGCAGAGCCAGTATCTAGTATTTCCTGAACAGTCTGATTATTTTTTCCCCAACTCATACTTACCCTGGTAAAAGATTGTATATCCCTTTAGGGAAACCTGCAAGAAAGATTAACTATAAATCTTTGGCAGCATAGTGAGGTCCATCCTCAAGAGGACCCTGCCTCCTCTTCATTCAAAGGGCTCTAAGACTGTAATCTGAATCTGAGGATTTATTGAGGGCCCCAACTCACTGCTTTGAAAATTCAAGTTAGAGACTTCTCTTCAATGGACCTGTAACTCCTTTGCTCATACAAATCAAATATGAATTCAATGAGCTTCTCTTCTATTTCACTTCCAGGGACACCATGATCAACGAGCCAACGCTGTAGGTTTCTACAAGACAGACTTCTCTGATTACTCCTGGACTCTGAGGTCCATCATGTTAACCACAGCCACATTGTCTTGGGTGATGATATGCCACCTCTTGGTGTCTGCCACCTGAAGGTCCAATTATTCCTGTTGTGTTTATGAATCCTAAGGAATAGCAGTTCTGATTGCAATTTCTGAGAGGAGCAACCACAGAGCTCTTCAAGGATGCTGATGCTCCCATCACTTCTTTATTCCTCACAGACCTGGAGGAAAAAAGATGTCTTCTGGACCTTTCCACGGTGTGTGACTAGGTATCACATGATAAATCCATGCTAACATTCCAGTTTCACATGCCATTCGATATGCTCCTCCACAGTGTGCCATGACGGTCCCCACACTCAGTGTCATGCAGTGTCAGCCACCTCTTCATCCATGTTTCAGCCAACCAAACAAACTAACAGAGCCATTTCTAACCCCTCAAGGCACAACATTAAATTCAGATTTGCTGTTTAGTTGGCTCATATCAATAAATTTGGCCCGATCCAACTTTATGTTCTCTCCAGCATTAACCTACATTCTTTTTTTAATTTATTTTGGCATATTATGGGGGTACAAATTTTAAGGTTTCAATAAATGCCCTTTCCCTCCCTGCCCCCACAAGTCTGAGTCTCCAGCATGACCATCCCCCAGATGGTGCACATCTCACTCATTATGTATGTATACACCTTTCCCCCTCACTCCTCCCATCTGCCCAATACCCTATTACTGTAGTACCTATGTGTCCCCTTAGGTGCTTCTCAGTTAATACCAGTTTGCTGGTGAGTATATGTGGTGCTTGTTTTTCCATTCTTGGAATACTTCATTTAGTAGTATGGGTTCCAGCTCTAACCAGGAAAATATAAGATGTGCTATATCACCGTTGCTTCTTAGAGTTGAATAGTACTCCATTAACCTACATTCTTAATATTAATTCCCACATCTCTTTTATACAAATAGATTTATTTTTGTATATATTGGAGAAAAATGCAGTTCTTTTAGAATATATCAGCTCTCTTCATGTGCCACACTTTATAACTCATTTTTTAGGCCTTGGTAAGACCTGGGCTTATTTATAGGGCTAGAAGCAAAGAGGCACATGGGAGTGGGTCCTGAGGAGAAGGTGGGCCCTGAGGAGAAGGAAACTACTTACCAGAAATTATAAGAATTCTAGAAGAAAATGTTGGAAAAGCTCTTATAGAAATCAGCCTAAGAAAAGAATTTATGAAGAAGATTCCAAAGGCAATTACAGCAACAACAAAAATAAATAAATGGCACCTGGTCAAATTGAAAAGCTTCTGCACAGCCAAGGAAACTATCATGCGAGCAGACAACGTACAGAATGCAAGGAAATATTCACATGCTACACATCCGATAATGGGCTGATAACTAAAATCTCTATAGAACTCAGGAAAATGAACAACAACAAAATCAAACAACCCCATTTAAAAGTGGGCAAAAGATATGAATAGAAAATTTTCAAAGAAAGACAGACTAATGACAAACAAACATATGAAAAAATGCTCAACATCTCTCATCATCAGGAAAATGCAAATCAAAACCACATTGTAAAGTCACTTAACTACAGGGAGAATGGCTTTTATCAAAAAGTCCCAAAACAATAAATGTTGGTGTGGATGTGGAGAGATAGGGACACTCACATACACTACTAGTGGGACTGAAAACTAGTACAACCTCTATGGAAAGTAATATGGAGATACCTCAAAGAGCTAAAAGTAGAATTCTCATTTGATCCAGCAATCTCATTAATGGGCATCTACCCAAAGGAAAAAAAGGACATTCTGTGAAAAAAGACATTTGCACTAGAATGTTTATAGTAGCACAATTCACAATTGCAAAGATGTGGAAACAACCCAAGTGGTCATCAATACATGAGTAGATTAACAAAATGTGGTGTACGTATACCATGGAGTATAACTCAGCCACAAAAAACAGTGGTGATCTAGCACCTCTTGAATTATCCTGGATGGAGCTGGAGCCCATTCTACTAAGTGAAGTATCAAAAGAATGACAAAACAAGAACCACGTGCACTCACCATCAAATGAGTACTAGTTGATCAACCCTTAATGTGCACATGTGGTAGTAACATCCATTGAATGCCAGGCAGGTGGAGGTGGAGGAGGGGATGGGTATATACACTCATAAGTGTAGTGGTGGGATAGGCACCCTTATAGTGGGGAAAAGGCAATATATTAATATGTAACCTAACCATTTGTACTCCTATAATGTTCTGAAATTAAAAAAAGATTGTGTGGTATTTAGAGGGATCAATGGAAGAGACTAGAGAACCCATAAATAAACATGTACACATATGCCCAATTGATTTGTTACTCAGATGTAAAAGCAATGGAGGAAGAATAGCCTTTTCAACAATGGTTCCAGACAGTTAGATATCCTTTAAGCAAAAAAGAACCTTGACCTAAATAAACTTCACATCTTATACAAAAATTAACTCAAAATGTATTGTGTACTTAAAGAAAGAACTTACTTTCTATGACACTTGGAACCAAGTTGGAGAAATCTTCAGGATCTAGGACAAGGCAAAGTTCATACACCTGACATTAGAAGTATGAAGGATAAAAAAAAATCAATAAATTGAAGCTGTTCAAAATTTAAAACTTTTATTTTACATAATACCCTACTAAGAAGATGTAAATGCAAGCTATAGACTGGGAGAAAGTATTTGAAAACCACCTATTTGATATATGACTAGTATCTAAAATACATAAAGAAGTCACAAAACTCGAGAGTAAATAAAATAAAATAAAATTACATAAAGGACAGAGGACATCAGACATTTCATTAAAGAGGGCATGGAGATGACAAACACATAAAAAGATGTTCATCATTCACCATTAGAGAAATACACATTAAAACCACAAAGAGACAGAATCAGAATGCCTAAAATAAACACTAGTAGCTCACCAAATGTTGGCAATGATGCAAAGAAACCAGATCACACATTGATGATGGGAATATAAAATGACACTCTGGGAAGCATTTTGGCAATTTCTTATAAAACTAAATATGTAACAGCCATATGTCCCAGCAATTGTACTCCTGGGCAATTATTCCAGAAAAATGAAAACTTATGTTCCTACAAAAACCTGTACTTACATGTTCACAATAACTCTTTTTGTAATAACCAAAACTGGAAATATCTACATGTCCATCAACTGGTGAATGGTTAAACCGACCTCAACTGGTGAATGGTTAAACAGAATGAAATACTATTCAGTAATATAAAGTAACAAATTATTGAAATATACAACAACTTCGATGAATTTCCAAAGGATCATGCTGAGTGAAAAAAGCCAATCACAAAATATCCCATACTGAATGATTACATTTATAAAACATTTCTGAAATATCAGAACTTTAGATAACATTAATGAATAGGTAGGGCTCTAAATGTGCAGCATGAGGCAACATGTGGTGATGGAACTGCTTTGTCTTTTCACTGTATCAATTTACATGGTCTGGTTGTGATATTTGTGTTTTGCAAGATGCTACCACTGGAAGAATATGGGTGAATTGTTCATGGCATCTCTAGGTACTATTTCTTACAACTGATTGAAAATATACAACTTTCTAAAGACAAAAAGTTTAATTACATAAGATAAGGTGAAGGAAAGAAAAAGTTGAAAACCATTATAGATATTCCATTCGATAGCTGTTTCTTTATGAAATATATTTTACTTCTAAAACTACCATTATGACCTTCTCTATTTCCTTAAACCTCCTTATACCCTTTCAGAACCCTATCATTGTCTTGTTGCCACTGTCCAGCGCTGACTTGTGGGTTAGTTACCAATTAATACAGTCTGTTTGTCACGTGCTTCCCAACTCCTGCCTCATCAGCTATGCTACTGGTAAAGCTTTTCTAAACATTTCTCTTTAGAAGTCTGACTTGCAGAAAATTAACAAATTTGTGTGGTATTTATCTCTTTGTAGAATGGAGCAAAATAAACCATTTTGTAACATTAGTTAAGCAACATGACAATATTTTTCCCCACAGTCACTTAGCTGTGACTGCCAACTGTTCAGTCCTCTATGGCTCCAATAATAATTCGACTCCTAATTACAAGCTAAACTGAGCGGTTTTCCATACATTAATAAAAAGATAATAATAAGGCCAGGCGTGGTGGCTCACGCCTGTAATCCTAGCACTCTGGGAGGCTGAGGCAGGCGGATTGCTCAAGGTCAGGAATTCGAAACTAGCCTGAGCAAGAGCAAGACCCCATCTCTACTATAAATAGAAAGAAATTGATTGGCCAACTAATATATATAGAAAAAATTAGCCAGGCATGGTGGCGCATGCTTGTAGTCCCAGCTACTTGAGAGGCTGAGGCAGAGGATTGTTTGAGCCAGGAATTTGAGGTTGCTGTGAGCTAGGCTGAGCGCACAGCACTCACTCTAGCCTAGGCAACAAAGCGAGACTCTGTCTCAAAAAAAAAAAAAAAAAAAAAAAAAAGGATAATAATAATGAACATTTAAGGATGACAACCATGGAACTGTGGCTGAATTGTTTACAACAAATAGGAGTAAAGATGTTATTATATTCACTGGAACATAAAATAATGGCTATCTGCTAATTATCTTAGAGTTTTTTTGAATGCTTGCAGTGCTTTTAATATTAATAGAGTAATATATAAGTAATGTCAAGCTCTTTGTATTAAAACTGTTAAATATTCTAGAAATGTAAAGAGATTTTCTATATGTTGATGTTTCTTTGTTTGAACTAGAATATCACTACAAACCTCCAGTTTAAAATGATATCTAACTTAGCCTTTGGTTCATTTTTTCCTAATTTTCTACTAGAACACTTTTAAGTTGAGGGGTATGAAAGACCATAACAGCAAAAACCAAGGAGCAGCTGACTAACAAACCGATCAAATTCCCATAAATGCATGACACGGTTAACTAAAAACATCACAGGCAAAAGCTGATGCTGACATCTTATCCACTTGGAAGTGAACCTGTGCTGATGGAAATGTTCCGTGTCTCCCTGTTCTGGGTCCTAGCTGTATCAACATAAATATCCTGGCTATGATATTGTGGTATAGCAAGATGTTACTTGGAGGAAACTGGATAAATGAATAGTTCATGGAATCTTTCTCTCTTTTTTTTTAGTTTGCATATCACAAAGTTTTATTAATGTGATTTAAGGCCAATTAAACTAATTTTATTAAGTAAGTCTACATTAAATTACAATATTAACCATCTCTAGACACATGATACAATATAAGGAGCAGAAATAGAAATCTATTTGGTCTTTGATAGACCACATATCATAGAACTCAAAGAAAACCCACAAATATACAAATGCTGATAATTAAAGAGTGAGGGTTTAATATGGGAATCCATAAAGGTGTCGTATCTTAAACATGCATGTTTCAAAAGAGAGGATCTTTTAATAATTTAGCATAAAATCAAATCATATAAACTCGGTATATTCCAGAAAATATTGCTTTAAACTCTTTATACCATGTCAAATTCCTTTGGTAGCTTTTCAATCAAAATGAAACATGCTTATGTAATATAAAGTACTTTTAAATGTTCACAAAAGTATCTTTGTCATAGTTACCATACTAACATCACCATGGAGCTTCCAACCCGCTGTTCAACTCACGAATATGTGCACAACATGAAACCAGGTACACCAACACAACCCTCTTAATCTCTTAACAAAATAACCTCTGTTTCCAACATCAAGACTTTGTCTCCATAAAACTTTTTACAGTGGTGCAGCAGAGATCCCGGACCCTCCCTGCGCGTGGCCGTAAAAACCAACCAAGCTCTAGCATAGCAATCACACAAATACTGCAATTAAAAAAATCAACAGCAGTTATCCCAATGCAAAAAACAGGGACTGCCAGACTCAATCTTAGAATGGAAACACAAACACACTAACCCCCAAACCCTTGAACAGAAAACTCACGACTAACTTAGCTGAAATGAAACACAGAAGCTCTGGGCTCACTGCACCACACGCCCGGATGGCGTCCGCCTGGCGCGATTGGGGGGCTCACTTAAAACCTGATTTATCCAAAATCAGTCACCGAAGTTTAAAACTTTTTGAAAATACATGAAACATAGAGGTGCCAGTGTTTAGGTCGCATAATCGATTGGCCACTTTTGAACACTGTTTATTCCTAACGCTCGCCAACGAAGGGTTCTTGTTTTCACTCTACATGTCCGCCAACCTAGAAAGCTTGTCTTCAGGAATACCTAAGTGCTCTTTACAGCGGAATAATGCAGCATTTAGGGTCTTTTTCACTGTGCATTCATGAACAAAAGCAAACCAAACTTTCAGCTGTTTGCCACAAGAACGAGACCTTATAAAGGACTCGTTTTAACCAGTATCTTCTTGTCCAATCTCAACGTTGTTCTGCGCAGAGCAAGAGAAACAATTTAAACGCCTAACAGAAGCTAGAGGAAAGGATACGTTTGCCGTGTGACAGTCCTCGAGCCTTGTGGAGGGTGGTCCAGGATTCCTTTCCTTTCCTGGTCCACAAGTGCCCATGGCTGGTTCAGCACGAGAGTCCCGGAAACGCAGACGTGCTTCGCCGCTCTGAGATACATTCTGGAGCGTCACGGAAGGGACAGGCGCGGACCCGTCAGGCCACGTAGTTGTACTGGTTTGGTTGTCTTTGTCTCGCTCCATATAGTCTCTGTCTATGAGAGATTCGATTCTCTTTTTCAAATCTCCAGGCTTTACTGGAAACTTTAGCTGGTTATACAATTCAGAAACTAGCAGGTTATGGCCAAGAGTCTTTCTCATCTTCATTATTCTGACTATAGCAGCGTCAATCTGATACTGTCTGTCCTGAAACACTCTCTCAGTGGTGCTCACTTGTTCCTCAACAGTTTCCTTCATCTGAATCTGGTTGATCTTTATTCTAAACAGCTTGTGCTTGAAGTCTCCGTTAAAGACGAACTTGTCTCCATCCTCCACCTCCTCGCCCTTGGGGCTCTTGGTCAGCACGCGCGCCTTGCCGCAGGCCAGGGACTGCAGCGTCCTGCGCAGCTCGCTGTCCTCTATGCCGGTGGCCAGTTTGATTTCCTCGAGGCTGAACTCGTCCTCCTCATTGAACATGAGCAGCACCAGCATCTGGAAGAGGGACACCTGGAGCTCCTTCTTCCCTTCCTTGAACTCCGCTTTTAACACAGCGTGCCCCAGAGTGGTCTGCCACTGCAGCTTCCAGCCAGTGTGCTTTCCGAGATAAAACGTCTTGAATACTTCCTGGAGTTTGATCATTTCCGGGGTCAGGTGCACGTCCATGGGTGTGTACGTCGGCCAGTAGCCCATGGTGAGGATGTTCACGGTGAGGTCAATCGGGGCCAGGTCACTCTGATTCTGCACGTGCTGCTTGAAGTGGACCATGATGTCCTTGGAGAGCTCCATGTCCTTGAACATGCCCTCCAGCTTGCTGGTGAAGGCCCGCCGCACTCGTGCTTGAGCTTCGACAGCATGGACTTCTCAGCGTCCACTGAGGCACTTTTCCCAACAAGGAGTCTTTTTGCCAAATTCTTTTTATAAAAGGCTTCAAAGACATCTTTACCGTGGATGAACCTGAACAGTATCATGATCTTGTCCAGGGTCCTCTCCAGCTCCTCGTCGGTGGCCTCTGTTGCCCGCACGTAGCTTGGAGTCCACGTGCTTCGCAATGAGCTCTGCCGGCTTGTTGGGCCTTTTGTTGATAAACGTCTCGAAGGACTCCTTCATCAGGTTGACAAAGCGCTCGTTCTTCTGGAAGCACACCTCTATCACGTGGTCCACCTTGTCCTTGAAGTCCAGCAGGTCTTGGACCATGTCTTTATCTTTCTCAGGATTGATGACAATGGTCGTCCCAAAATCTTGATGTACTCGCTCCAGTGCCGCAGCAGCGCCTGCTGCCCGCCCTTGACGCGGCTGAACAGCTGGGACATCTGCGTGAGGTCCGGCACTCTGTTCTCGTCCAGCAGGTGGTCCAGCCCTTTCTGCAGAATCGCTGTTAAATGCTCCCCCAGTAACTGCTTCTCCACACAAGCGATCAGCGGCTTCTGTGTGCTGTGGTCCAGGTACGTGATCACTCGGTCACCTTCTTCTTCCAGACGTTTACTTACGTGGTTCAGATATTCTGGAACCTCTCTCTCCTGCATGAGTCTCTGGCCTTCCACAGCGTACAGTTAGTCTCTTCCAAAAATTTCAGTTCGAAGGAATCTTTGTATACCTGCAGGTCGGACAGCATGCTCAGCAGGCTGCGCAGCAGGCTCCGGTCCACGGCCTCCCGGCTCCTCTCGCGCTCGATCAACAGCAGAATCCCGTCGATGGTCTTGCTCTGAACCGTCTTATCGCTGATGATATGGTTCCTAAACAGCTCTAGGCCCATGTCCCAGACGGAGGGCAGCATGGAGTTCTGCAGCACGTACGTGCGGTCCAGGAACAGGAAGATGCTCCGGATCATGATCATCTGCTTGCAGTGGTCCTGCCAGCACGCGTTCATCTTCTTCAGAAACAGGACGCTGTCCGGCGAGTTTTCTCTGAACTGGAGGATCTGGGCCTGGACGTGGTCCTCGCAGACCTGGCGCAGCTGCTTGTAGAGCGTCGGGGAGACTCTGTGAGAACAGAGGTTTTCCACAGCCTGGTAGAGCTCCTCGAGGTTGTACCTGATGGACGTGCTGCTCTGGATGGCGCGCATGGCCTCGCGGAGCTTCTGCCACGTGTCCTGCGTGTGGTTGTCCGGCAGCCTGGGTCTGTCTGCGGGGCCGGAACGAGACCGCGGCTCGGAGGGCGCCCAGGCTCCCGCGGCCCAGGCCGGGCCTGGCGGGCCCAGAGCGCCGCGGCCTCGCGCACCGGGGCTCCGGAATCTTTCTTTCTTATGTTTTACAACTGCAGGTGAATCTTCAATTATTTCAAAATTAAAAATTTAAATTAAAAAGCTACATTAATAATACAGCTTGTTATTTTTCTTCTAATCAGACCTTCAACTGAATGGATGAGGCTCACCCATGTTAAGGGGGGAGTCTGTTTTATTCAAAGCCTACAGTTTAAATGTAAATCCTATGCAAAAACACCTTCACAGAAACATACAGAATAATGTTTGACCAATATTTGGGCACCATGATCCAGCCAAGTTGACACATAAAATTAACCATCAAGGTCCACAATACACTTTAAGTTAATTTTTTATATGGTATGAGTTATACATTAAGTTTCCCACTCTAAACCCCCATGGTTGTCCAATCACTCCAACATCATTTGTAGAAAAATGTCCTTCCTACAGCAAACTGCTTTGGCACATTTGTCAAAAATCAATTGGCATATTTATTTGGGTCACGGTGGGTTTTTTTATTCTGCTCTATGGATCTTTGAGTCTATTCTCATGCCGATTTAATATGACATAGAATAAGCCTTGATTTCTTCTACTTTATTTTTATTTTTCAAAAATTGTTTTAGCTATTCTAGGTACCTTGCTTTTCATATGAGTCTTAGAATATTCCTGTATGTCTACAAAACACATTTTTAATAGATGCTGCAATCAACCCACATAGCAGATTTCTAACTGCCTTAAGGTGGTCTTCCAACCCATGGACACAGTATGTCTACTTAGTTGGACCTCTTATCTCTCTTATTCACCTTTTGTGATTTTCAGAATACAGACTCTACATTTTTTAAAATTTATACTTAAGTATTTCATAGTCTTTGGAGGAATTGCAAATTGTATTGAGTTTTTGATTTTTGATTCTATATGTTCATAATCTATTCTTTCATTCTAGAGCTTGGTGATTTGTTGTTATACTCACTTTTTATTTTTATCACTCTTGCTAGAGGTTTATGAAATTAAAAAATATATACATCCAAAGATACAGCTTTTGGTTTCATTTTTTTTCTATTATTTTCCAATTATAGATAATAATTGATGGCCATTCTTGTTTTATTTTATCCCTTCATCTGTTTACTTTATAATTAGATTGTTCTCCTTTTCTATTTTCTTGAGGTAGTAATTTAGATAATTTATTTGTGATCTTTCCACTTTTCTAACGTCAACATTCAGTGCTATAAAATCTTTCTCAGAGCTGCTTTAGCTGCATCCAACTTTTTTATTATATTTCATTGTCATTCAATTTTACATATTTTTAATAATTTCCTGTGTGACTTCTTTGTTGATCCATGGACTAATTAAAAGAGTGATGTTTAATTTCCAAGTTTCAGAGGATTTTCTTGACATCTTTCTATAGCGGTTTATAGTTTGATTCCATTTTGGTCAAAGAACATATCCTGTATGATTTAGATTCATTTAAATCTGTGGAGGTTTGCTTATGCCACAGGATATAGACTATTTTGATAGATGTCAATGGATGTTTAAAAAATATGTATTTTCTGCTATCTTGGAGTTATCTATTCACTCAATTCTTGAGTATAGGTTTATGACTTGACAAATTTGAGTTTTCAGCCTACTTTTTAAAAAACACTTTTTCTTCCCTTTCATTCTGAATATTTGTTAATATGAATGTTAGTGCTTTTGCTACTGTCCTGTATGCCCATGTGATTCTTTTCATTTTTTAATTTTTTAGAGTGGATAAATTTTATTTGTCTGTTCCATGTTCATTGGTTATATCCTCTGCTGTCTCTTTTCTACTGTTGAGAACATCCAACGAGTGCTTTATTTTGGTCATGATATTTTTTAGTTCATAACTTCCATTTGGTTCTTTGCCATAACTTCTATTCTTGAGAGTTTACAATTATGCAGCTGTTTCAAGAGAATTCATAATTACTTGTCAAAACATTTCTATGCTGACTGCTTAAAAGTCCTTGTCAGATAATTCCAACATTTAATTTATCTTGGTGTTGGCATCTCTTGGTTGTCTTTTCTCAGTTATTTTTTTATTTTTATGGTTCATGATATGTTGAGATTTTCATTTGTATCTTAGATATTTTGCATAATTTACCATATTGTGAGACTCTGTATCCTCGTTGATGTCATTTTCTCAGCAGCAGTGCCTCCCCATCCCCTGCTGAGCAGCAGCTGAGAGCCAGGTGTGTGGATACAGTATTCGCTTCTCTCTGGGCCCCACCAACACCACCAGTCCCAACGTGGAGCACTGACCTAGGACACCCATTTGTCTTCAAGTGAGTGGAGGATCAGCTCCTTCCTGCATCCCAGTGCCACCAGGGAAGGCATGCGTTACTCCAATCTGCCCTTGTACTCTGGCACCAGAAGCTCAACTAGCCTCTGGGCCCTGCCGACCCTCAAGGAGAGATGGGAGAGCCCCAAGTACTAAGTAGCTCACTCTCGCCACCAGGCCTCCTTGATGCACATTGGAGGTGGCAACTCATTTGTCTACTGGCCCTGCTGTCATCAGGGAAGGTTGGAAGCTGAGCGCTGACTATCCCGCCGGGTTCAACTCATTCTGCCTGGCTGCTACAAGGCTGAGCTGGGGACTCAACTTCCTTATGGACCTGCTGATATTAATGTTTGAAGAACAGAACAAAAGCAATAGCTACCACCGTTTTGTGCTGCTTCCTTCAGCCTTGTTGCTGTCGGCTGGGTGTGCAGGTTCAGGTTTCTTTTCCCCTGGGACGCACTGACGCCAGCGGTCAGGGAACAGGGCGACTGCAGTACTTCTAGGCCCGACTTGAGCCTCCTAGTTCAGCCTCAGTTACCCGCGGGGCTGGATGACATGGCACTGGGGGAAGGCGAGGGTGAACGCAGTGGTGATGAACACCGCCCCACGCCACTGAAGCGAGATCTCACCGCTGCTGATTGGAGGTGGAGACTCAGCTGGACCCGGGCTCCACCGACGTGGTCCTTCCGGGCGCGTTGGAACGTGGGCTCTTTCCGGGCGCGCTGAGCGCCTGCCCCTTCCGGGAGACCAGAGTCTCGCTTTGTTGCCTAGGCTAGAGTGAGTGCTGTGGCATCAGCCTAGCTCACAGCAACCTCAAATTCCTGGGCTCAAACAATCCTTCTGCCTCAGCCTCTCAAGTAGCTGGGACTACAAGCATGCGCCACCATGCCTGGCTAATTTTTTCTATATATATTAGTTGGCCAATCAATTTCTTTCTATTTATAGTAGAGATGGGTCTTGCTCTTGCTCAGGCTAGTTCTGAATTCCTGACCTTGAGCAATCCGCCTGCCTCGGCCTCCCAGAGTGCTAGGATACAGGCGTGAGCCACCACGCCGGCCTTATTATTATCTTTTATTAATGTATGGAAAACCGCTCAGTTTAGCTTGTAATTAGGAGTCGAATTATTATTGGAGCCATAGAGGACTGAACAGTTGGCAGTCACAGCTAAGTGACTGTGGGGAAAAATATTGTCATGTTGCTTAACTAATGTTACAAAATGGTTTATTTTGCTCCATTCTACAAAGAGATAAATACCACACAAATTTGTTAATTTTCTGCAAGTCAGACTTCTAAAGAGAAATGTTTAGAAAAGCTTTACCAGTAGCATAGCTGATGAGGCAGGAGTTGGAAGCACGTGACAAACAGACTGTATTAATTGGTAACTAACCCACAAGTCAGCGCTGGACAGTGGCAACAAGACAATGATAGGGTTCTGAAAGGGTATAAGGAGGTTTAAGGAAATAGAGAAGGTCATAATGGTAGTTTTAGAAGTAAAATATATTTCATAAAGAAACAGCTATCGAATGGAATATCTATAATGGTTTTCAACTTTTTCTTTCCTTCACCTTATCTTATGTAATTAAACTTTTTGTCTTTAGAAAGTTGTATATTTTCAATCAGTTGTAAGAAATAGTACCTAGAGATGCCTGAACAATTCACCCTATCTTCCAGTGGTAGCATCTTGCAAAACACAAATATCACAACCAGACATGTAAATTGATACAGTGAAAAGACAAAGCAGTTCCATCACCACATGTTGCCTCATGCTGCACCATTTAGAGCCCACCTATTCATTAATGTTATCTAAAGTTCTGATATTTCAGAAATGTTTTATAAATGTAATCATTCAGTATGGATATTTTGTGATTGGCTTTTTTCACTCAGCATGATCCTTGGAAATTCATCGAAGTTGTTGTATATTTCAATAATTTGTTACTTTATATTACTGAATAGTATTTCATTCTGTTTAACCATTCACCGTTGAGTCGGTTAACCATTCACCAGTTGATGGACATGTAGATATTTCAGTTTTGGTTATTACAAAAAGAGTTATGTGAACAGTTAAGTACAGGTTTTTGTAGAACATAAGTTTTCATTTTTCTGGAATAATTGCCCAGGAGTACAATTGCTGGGACATATGGCTGTTCATATTTAGTTTTATAAGAAATTGCCAAAATGCTTCCCAGAGTGTCATTTTATATTCCCCATCATCAATGTGTGATCTGGTTTCTTGCATCATTGCCAACATTTGGTGAGCTACTAGTGTTTATTTTAGGCATTCTGATTCTGTCTCTTTGTGGTTTTAATGTGTATTTCTCTAATGGTGAATGAGAACATCTTTTTATGTGTTTGTCATCTCCATGCCTCTTTTAATGAAATGTCTGATGTCCTCTGTCCTTTATGTAATTTTATTTTATTTTATTTACTCTCGAGTTTTGGTACTTCTTTAGTATTTTAGATATAGCTATTATATCAAAAGGTGGTTTTCAAAACTTTTCTCCCAGTTCTATAGCTTGCATTTACATCTTCTTAGTAGGGTATTATGTAAAATAAAGTTTTAAATTTTGAACAGCTTCAATTATTGATTTTTTTTATCCTTCATACTTCTAATGTCAGGTGTATGAACT